ATTTATTTATATCAAATGGCAGGCGCTGTGAAAGTTATCATTAGCCCTTTAATTGACTTCAGGCTTCACAGAGGAGGAGGAACATCAAAGTGAAACAAGTCGAGAGGGAGAGGGGGAACAGAAGAGAGTTTCAAAGATGTAAAAGAGATAGACACAAAAGTGGAAAAGGGTGAGGTGAGTACTGTGAAGTAGTCGAATATGACATACAATGGGGTGCACCACGTGTAGGTAAGTCTATCGCACACCCCATTGTTGTCTAAAGTAACACTTATTATATTCACTTCATATTTATGTCAATAAATTCGCCTACTTTTCTACGGGTCTGACACCTCGTATGTCCTTCTTATTCTCACCTTGGCTGAGTGCATCCATGTTTAAAATGTTATATGATTATGCTTAAATTGTCTTTGTCAGTCTCCTTGACTTAGCCAATGGTAAAAATCAGCAAAAAGTGGAAGGATAAAACCATCAATTAAGTTAACTAATCAGGGCCTTCTAAATTTCTCGCACATTGGCTCACTCAAAGACTTATAGTTAAATCTAGTTTATTTTCTATAAGTGATAGTCTTATTTATAATGTGGAATGATATTTCATAAGTCAAGGGTATATGCCTTTAGAATTTTGAACATAATATTTCTTTAATTAACATTATAGATAGCGATTCTAAACTTAGAATCAAGTGCCCTAGATTATATGGCATCACGGGTTACCTCTTCTTAACATACCTTTTCATATTAGACAGGATTATCGAATTTCAAACCTCTATGCCCTAACACCTAAATTTTCTAATGCTTCAATTTCGACCTCAATACTTTATTTACCTTTTTTACACAGTTGCGATTTCGACACATTCTCAGCAGTTAAGTATTCATATTTTGATGTTGATGATTTCATGAAATTGAAAAGAAAATTAGCATCTCCTTACGATCCTCCTGCTATAAAATCAAAGAATGAATTGTAAGACAACTCATCCAATCTTGGTTAATCTGTTCTTTCCTTTGCTTCAAGACCGATACTTATAAATTTAAAGTTGGTTGCAAATTCACTAGTTTAACTAATTAATTTCATTTAAAAGGTTATTGTCTTTCGCCATTTCGTGTCAACGAAAGTTCAAACAAATATGCCATTTTTGTTTTGTGCCATATTTGGAGGCAATGTAAGCTGCTGTGAGTTTAATATAAAATTTAGCTTCACATAGAGGGTAGGGTGGGTGGATGTGGGGTGGGGTTGTTTTACAGTACAATGTAAATATTTATTCAATTGATTGCTTTAAGATTCCGACGCAACGACCAAGAGGCCTCCTGGAAAGTGGAGATTATTTTCAAACAGACTTTAATGCCTGTCTTTTCTGTTGGCCTTAGGTTATTATTTAGGCATAAATGGAGGTCATAAATGCTAGCGGTTCTCATAAATTTTACCTATAGGGACCTATTAAGACTTCGAAAATAAAATTGTGTCTTATCCGTAAGTTATACAGATGGCGGAATAAATGATGAAACAAATAGGTTACAGCAGCAGAGTTTAAGGGGATATTTGCACACAACAGTGGTTATTATTACTGGCATTCTTAAACTGGCAAATATTCTTAAAATGTTCCAAGTGGTTAGTTGTTAGAACAGTTGGTAGAAATATCACTAGCCACTGGCTCTTCTGATCTCCGCCATATTAACAATCAAGTAAATTATTATCTCCTAGCTAGTATTTTGAATATTGAAAGAAGAATACCAATCTGAATGGGCAAATTAAGTATGAACATTAACAGACCAATCATTGGACTGCGCATTGCATAAGCATGAGTTCCCTCAGGAAACATGCGATTAATACTAGATTAATACTAGAAGTAATAACAAAAAATAGAAACCCTAAATTCCTAAGTCTGTCATTACCATTTATGAAGAAGCGATCTACATCTAGATTTGAATAAGGTTGCTAAGTATCATACAAGTTTCTAGAACAATTTGCTTTCAAACTCAGGCTTATTTTATCTTTTTTTATATCCACTAATATCAAATCAATTACATTCTATGGGAGAAGCACGCAAAAATGAAAGAAAAGACGCATTCTTCACTTCAAAATTATTGCTATGTACTATTTTTGTGTATTGCTAACACCGGAGAACGGACAGTGTAATTCCATATTTAATTTCTTTTTTCTTAGCATATCTTTTGGGCTATACAAGAAAAATACGTATTTGGTATTCAATATTTATTAAGTAAAGCTAAACTTTGCCACAAAACTGAACCAGTTTTGTAGTTCTCATAACTAATAACACGTCAGCGCCTTTCTGATTTAATGGCCTTAGAGGTAATCCTTCCATAACTTCTGTCTGGAAGCAAGCGATTATGTTCACCCAAAGAATAAAGTGATGAAAGAAAATCGTGCACAAACTTGCGGATGATAGAATGGCTTTGTCGAAAATATATTATAACTGGAGTACTATTAAACTAAAAGAACTTGAGTGCTTACCATTTTTAGATCCTGAAGTTTCATTGAAGGTCTAAACAACAGATGCTCTCACGCTGAAATAATGTATATTTTCCTGTTCACTAAGTATTGACTCCATACTACTTAATAGAGGCTGATTAATGATCTCCACTGCTTCGTAATCTAATGGAATTAAAATGAAATTATATCAATATTTGAAGACATATTGATTAAACTGAAGGTGTTAGAACACCAACCCTCATTCAGTATATCGTGAACTTCAGCGAAGATGATAGTTCTGCATTGCCGAGATCCACCAATGAGTTTTCTAATCAAGCCAATCCCTATTCCAACAGCACAGCCAATGATGGTGATGAGAATGATTGATTGCGCATCTGAAGATGGAGTTTGTGGTTGAACGGTAAGGGGATAGATGAGGGGAAATGTTCGATTGAGATAATCCACTGAAGTTAGTGCCATCTCACCAGTCAGCAACATAACTTGCCCTAAAATACAATAAAATTCCAAACATCGCCTGAACCACGAGTAACTATTGATTAATTTATTTGTTCCGATGCGGTTCATGTCAATTCAAAAATTTAATTCGAATCATGAGTGGAGCTTGGTGGGTCCAGTTATAAATGAATAAAGTTTGACTTAACAGCATTTTCTCATCTGCGCACATCATTGTTAGTAAATTATATTTCATTAATATAATGCGATTGAGGGACGTGGTATTTACGTAAGATGGAAGATGAATATAAAATTTAAATAAATAAGTGAAGAAATTGTGATTCGTTCCTAAATTTGGTTTTTCGCTGGACGAGATGTTTAAGAGGTATTGCCAAAGCATTCAGTAACATTGAAAGATACTCCATTCTTAAAAATAAATACGCGTGTGAATCGGATGGAATATAAATTGCAATCCTCCGTTTTAAATTCAAATGCAACTTTAATTTCCCGTTTTGCTGGTTGCAAAGTTTTTACTAAACTAGTAATTTGCTAATTCATCCAACAATAATGAACTGCAAGCGGGGTTCTATATAATGGAAAAAAGAGAAATTTGTAATATAGTTGAAAATGAAATGTGGCTAGTTTTACTTGTGCAGGTTACCATTTGCATATTATAATAAATTAAATTAATTAACTTGGCATTTTTGATTACCTAACAGCAAATGTCAACGAAGAGCATGCGATATACCTTTTACTATACACCCCAAAATCGAGCACTCGTTCATTTCAGCAAAATTGTCTAATTTTTTCTTTTAATTTAAAATTGTTTTCTCTCCAAAAGTAATAACTGTGTACATCGGTAAATCTCGCATATATCCATTTGCATTGTCTCTTTACTTTAATGAAGTAATTGATAAAAATATCCATAAAATTGTTAATGTCAAAGAAGCGAATGTGGGCGTGTGCTTCAATTTCATTGGTTCTGCCGTGTTTTAACATTTAACTGTCAATCATTGAAATAAAAATTTATCACTAATACTAAGCATTATTGCGAATGCATAAAATTTGAATTATATATAATTCACTCAAGTATTCCATTAACTATTTTAATTTGATGGTAGCGAATCTGTTAAAGGCTGTGTTTGTGTTGTCAATTTAGTATTTAGAGGTTATTAAAATTGGATGGTAAAAGAATTTGTATATGGAGATGAGTTACTTGAAGAATTGGACTGTTGGAGTTGACTGGTAGGAATTGGAATCTGGCGAGAAATAAAATTGTACCAGAAATTGATAGACAATTAAATTACAAGAAAATGACTGGTATCCCAGTTTGAATTTGGAGACAAAGACAGTAAGCTAATGTAGTCCGCAAGGTAAAGTATGGTTTGATATTTTTTGAGTCGTCATGGCAGACTTGGGAGGCATGTCGATGTACGCATGGCGGTAAGGTCTAGCCTCAATTAATGGCGTTAATTATTAGTAAAAAAATTTGACAAGCTCACAAAAGTTGTTGCCACCATTGGAATCAATAATAACTAAATTGTTGAATTCTTTGGTGATTTAAGGTTACTAAATTTTATCGTGGTTGAAGTCAAATTAGAAGTATATTTAAAGAAATTATCAGAGAATTTACGTTTATCCAAGCCTGAACTTTATCAGTTAACTTTTAGAAATATGTTGAAGGGAAGCAGAGATGTAACACACATTTCCACCATGAGAGGCCGTAGTACATTTATTTCCGTCAATCGTTACTGTTAACTTGCTTAATCATTATTATTTGATTGAATATTAATTTGACCCAGTATCAGTGCCTCCTTTCTCGTATTTAGTCCATTAAAACAGAAATTATAACTAGGCTACAATTGGACACCATTTTATCTTCGTAAGTTAGGTAAAATAATGGGCTTTCAGTCTTAAAATCAGGATTTATATATAATTCCTGTTGTGTTTAGGACCTGAACGTAGCTCTAATTCTATATACAGTTACCGTAAGGGTCAGAAAAGTTAATTTAAATATCACCTCACCGAACCAACTATCGTTTTAGAGATAGTCAGAGAGGGAGCCGGAGGGAGGTGTCACTACAGATGACAGACAATCTTAATTGTGAGAAATAAGCAAAACGAGGCACTATAAAGCAGTTTACATTCATTGGTTATTGACCATCAAGGTGGAGGAATGATTCAGTAGGAATTCAATGAGTAGAAAAAGTGAACAGCCCGTGAGTCAAGGCGCGTCGACAGTGCAGCCTATTTTTTGATTTAAGCCTTTTTGTGCTAAAAAGGAATATAGTTAGTCATGCTAGTGGGCAAAAAATATTTATATATGGCGTGAAATGCTTTTATTGTGGCTATGACGTTTATGATTACGATATCAACGGTGCAGAGCTTAACCGCTAAATGCGGTTTTAGGTAGGCTGACCCTGCAATACGCACTGTTTGTAAATTGGCTGAGAGATTTCTGCACTTGTAACTTCATTTGCTCTCTAACGCCGCAATATGGAGCGCATCCACTAATTCTAAAATTTTTGCGAGAGCGCTCCACGGGTTAGGGTTACTTTGCCCCTTGAAGGTTTTTCTCTTCTAATTTGGAAAGCATTTCTTTCCCAAGGATTTCAAAGCAAGTTGGAGAAAAATTAAGAAGACGTTGGCTTACGAAACCTGGTGGAGGGTTAAATCCATTTGCTTTTCTTAATCTCATCAAGTTTTTAATTCGTTTGCTTGCAAAAGAAGCTTATTTAACAGGATTTAAAAGATCTTATGGTAGTTTAACTTGCTACTTTATTGCTACTGTGATTTTTTTGGTCCATGTTAGCAAACTTTTCTTGAAATAGCTAAGTTTTCTAAAGTAAACCTCTTATTCACTGTTGCAGTGTTTCTACCTTTTTTATTCTAGTGACCCCTTAAATAATGCAGGAATAAATTTGATTCAAACCAATGAATGGAGAGTACAGAAGTATAATATCACCTTGGATACTATATTAACTAAGCTCAGGCTATGTATAAGCTAAAACAGTTTGTGCTGATAGTACTGCTGTCAAAGTGAAAACAGTTAATGCTTTAAATTATATTCAAAATGCCAGAGTTGGTTTGCATTATTATTTTGATAGAGGGAGAAAAAGTCTAAACACTCCAGCTGTTAGTTACCTAACGCTAACATAACTTAATATGATTGTTCTATTTACTTCATCTGCATAAATATTCATTTTTAGATATAAAAGTATCTTAGAGGATAATGTGGCTACCATCTAGACAGACAATGAGACATATTTGCAAAGTATATGCTTGATCCTATGATAAAAGTTCTTAAAGTTTAATAGTTCATGGTGATGCATATTAAATATTCTAGTATTTATCTTGAAAGTACCCTCGTCGAGATAATCTGTTGATTTAATTTTCACCAGTTAATGAAAAATATATATCAATCAATGGATTTTTAGAGTGAATGCGTGTTGCTTTATATTCAGAAAAAAATTATGTCCTTGTTTATTTTTTTGCAATAATTCACAAATCCAACAATCAGATTTAATTGTGGAAATCAATAGAGCTTTTATTCAATTATAGAAGTAGTCATATCTTCCAACATATTTTCTTATTTGTAAATTTTGAACAGTTTGGATAAATTTGTAAGGCGTTCTACGCAAGGAGTTTGAATTACGACCATTCAAGTTCTGGCTTAATAGCGCCAATCCGTTGTTAAAAGGACTCACATGGAATCGTATACAAATTTAAATAAGTCTAGAACATGTGTTAAATATAAGATCTACATCTACTTTGGCGTTACTTTAGAAATGGAAAAATTAGGGACAGTAAGTAACAGTAATCTGTTTCACTCGGATGTTTAATCTATCGATATTTGCTGATTAAACTTATTGGATCGAAGTAAATACCTGAGGATGCTAAGGTCAAATATGCATCGGTGTCCACCCAGTGACGAAGATGAGCAACCAATCACCTTTGCTTATATCGGTATTTATTTATATCAAATGGCAGGCGTTTTGATAGTTATCATTAGCACCTTAGTTGACTTCAGGCTTCAGAAAGAGGAGGGAACATCAAAGTGAAAAAAGTTAAGAGGGGGGACAGAAGATTATTTCAAAGACGTAAAAGAGACAGACAAAAAAGTTAGAAAAGGGTGAGGTGAGTACTGTGGAAGTAGTTGAATATAACATACAGTGGGGTGATGGTGGTTTGAAGTCAGAAGTCAACTTTCGTAAGAGTATACGTTGCCCAGGGTGCTTCACGTGGAAGTAAGTCTATCGCACACCCCTCTTGGGCCAATATAAGGGCCGTTAAAAGGGGGGTTGCTCAAAATAGCGTTCTACATATTAATATCAATAAGTTTCTTAAATTCGAAAGCTGCTTACCATTCCAGGTCAAGAAATACAGAAATTCGGTTCTGATGGCATGTACACCGTTAATAATTGCAAAAATGTTATACTCGATTTTTATTGTGACTATAAGTTATGCATGAACTTTCCAAAAAAACATAAGCTGTTTGAAAATAGTAACAGATGGAGAATACGAAGTATATGAATGCGTATAATAGTTACGATTTATTTAAATGTTTATGAGTTTTGGTTTTTTAAAAAAATTCTAATCTTTTTTCCAAAATTAGGAAGGCATTGAATAGATTGATCATTGATTCCTTCTCCACCCAAAATTATTTTGAACTTTTGGAAGTTAAATTTTGTTTTTGAATCATAGACGAATATCTTTAACGGGTTCACACTACCAATGATTATGGCACTTCTCGAAGAGGTTAACTATGAACGTCAGCAATCATAAGTAAGCATTAAATTAAAAGTATATCAACATTATGGATAAATAAAAATGTGCTCTGTTATTGTTATGAAATCAGTCAACATATGATGGTGTTACAAACTCTTAACTGTATATTATTAAGGGAATACGGTTTGAAATTTGATATTAAAAATTATTACAAAAGGACACGTTATATTTAAATAATTTAAAATTTTATTGTAATTTACTATGGAACAACTAAATATCGATTAAATAAACGAGCAAATAAACTAGCTTAATCTCTCTTTAAACGATTTTAAACTACACACCGCCGCTTTTATATAAGCCAATAGCTTTACGACGCGGAGTACGCTTTCATTAGCGTTGATTAGTTACAAGTTCCGTTATGGCAGGTTCCCGAAAGTCTTTGCTTAAAATAGAGCCAAGTAGTGAGCTTGACTTTTTCGGTGAGTGCTATTTTGGTTTCAAATAACAATTTTCAGGTCCATTTGTTGCCGTTCAATTGTCGACAATTACGTTGACGAATCCAACTGATGAGTTGATCACATTTAAAGTAAAGACTACCGTTCCAAAGCGCTACTGTGTTCGTCCCAGTTGTGGAGTTGTCGAACCTTCGGAAACAGTTAATGTGACTGGTACTAAATTTGTTTATCTTTATATTCCTCAAAGTAATGCTTCAGCCGTTCGACTGCGAAAACAGCGAGAAGAATAAGCATAAATTCATGATTCAATCCATGGTTGCTGACTCTTCTTGTACAGCCAACTTGGAACAGTTTGTAATATCAACTATTTTTCCCTTTTACTTACTCTATTTAGTGGAAAGATGCGGATCCAGCTAATATTAGTGACACTCGTCTTAAGTGCACTCTTAGAATGCCTGAGGATCTTGTTAAATGTGAGCCAGAAAGGCTTGTTTTTGAAGGCAAGTATCGATTATTACCTATTAACTTGAAAACTTTACAAGGTCCTCCAGGCGAATCTTCCTCCGTTACTTTGACTGTTCGTAATACTTCGCCAAAAGATGTAGTTTTCAAAGTTAAAACCAATTCTCCAATGCGATATGTTGTTACCCCTAATGAAGATATTATAAAAGCCCGTGAAACAAAATTAATAAAAGGTAAGCAAACTTATTCCTTATTATATGTTCCTAGTTTCGACTGTTGCCGGCGTTGAATCATCTGGTGAATCGAGAGATCGTTTGGCACTTTTAACTGTTTTAGCTCCTGAAGAAATGCCTCCTTCCCTCAGTCAAGTCGTAATGTCTCTTTAGTTAATCTATCTATTCGTTTAGTGGCAAATTGTTGACAAGTTCCATGTTGCGGAGAAATTCTTTACGTGTACTTTCCCTGGGCAAGATCGGGTTAGTTTTCTCTTTATTTGATGGATTTGTCATATATTTTTTTTCTCTTTGATTGTGGTTTTTTATCATTTACAGGCTTCCACTTCTTCTCCTGTTACTTCCCTTAGCCAGCTCACACAGGAAATCGAAAAACTTCGTAAGGAAAACGAAGAATTGAAGGTATGTCTTAGTTTTACCTAAAGTCACAATATTGTGCAAAATTTGTCATTTTTAAGACCAAAGTGAAAATCGGCTTGAAATGACTCATTGATCCATTCAAGTCAACTGGTCATTTCTAATTTTCCGTTTTCCTAGCGTTCTCCTTAATAGTGGTTAAAGATTGTTTTGTGGAACTTCTGTTTCTTTGTTGTATTCCCCTCAACTGGATATTAGACGATAGGCGTTTCGACTCTGGTCACTAGTTAGTTTAAAGCTTAGAACCTGTAGTGTGCTGCTTCTCCTACTTTCTCAAGCCAAAGTTAAATGATTTAGCACTAAATTGTTTCTTTTTTTGCTAGTGCCAGGCCGCGATGAACAGATTGGGTCGCGATACTCAGAGTCATCTACCAGTTGGTACGACAAATGCATCTGCTTTGGAGACACTACGTATGAATATCCCACCGATTCTCTACCTTCTCATAACCTTTTTGTTCGCTCTGGCTGTGGGAAAGTTCATGCTCTAAGCATTTGAGCAGAATCCCAGAAGTATGGAATAGATAAAACTGATATTTAACATTACATCCTCTTCTCTTTAAACATAAAGCAACAGATATCGTCACAGTCCATTTCTTCTCCGCCTCTTCTTTTCAAAGTGAAGCCAAGCGTACGTTTAAGTTTGTGAACTGGAGTAGCTATCCTTTGGTCCTCTGTCCTGCAATTTCATCGGTGTTATCTCTCCTGATCCTATGTATAGTTTGGTTATCGTGGTTGTTACCACTATTACTCTGCCATAAACCTATCTCTGTTTCTGTTAACTCACTGTTAAACTCTTTCTTGCACGTTTTTTTCGCATCACGCGTCCCTTCTTCTCTGTGATGACGATTTTCTGCGTTTGTGAATGTGTGGAGGGTGAGGATATATTACAGACGAGCATTGTTGGGACTGAGATTATTATTAGGACTAATGTCGACTACTTTAAATATCGCTCTTCTCATTTCTGTTCCTCTAACTACCATTTCGGGGTTTTTTACGAGTTTGAATTTGGTACTTGCACTCGAAAAATTCGAAAATCGCGGTGTGGACTAGTCAAATGGTTTGCGCTGTCTTGGCGGCTTTCGTATTATTGTATGTCATTTTCGTCTTTAACAACCCAAACAGTATTAAGTAGTGGGTGAATGATTCTCTAATTGTGTTGTTATGCTTTCCATTGGGTGATTAAACTACTCTAAGGGTGTGTGTGCGATTGTTGGCGCATAGAGTATATCGATACTTCGATGATTCATGTGCTTTGGGTTAGATTGCCCTTTTGGGCATTAGCTAAATACTTCGCATTGAAGGATGGTAAATAATTGATACTGGTATGAATTTTCACAGTCTATTTTAATCGCTTATTGTTTATTTAAGCTTGCTATTGGCGCTGAGGTTTTTTCGGTATTATCCGTAGTGTATTTGCAGCCATTTCCTTATCATCTCGTATTGAGTCTTAACAATCCGGATTTTCCTTTCACTTGATGATCCAAATAAATCTGCAGGTTGATGGACTAATCGATAACCTAAAGATAGGAAATAAGCGAAGGTACCAACTTATTTTGGGGAGAGATGTACGTCGCGCTGTAATCGCATTTTCGTTAAATTAGCTTGAAGCAACGGCCTCGTACTTTCGCATTTTTGCTCTGCTTTTCCTAAGGTGGTGAGTTAGGCTTTTAGAAACAGGGTTGGAAATCGTTCGGTGCTTAACCATGTCGAAACACTATTGTCAAAAGCTTCATTGGTGTCCTAGTCAATTAGGCTTGTTCAAGGATTTTGCAAGGTTTTGCGTAATTCTCTATCGCAAATAAATGCTAAGGAAAGTGTAGTATCCCAGAGAGGCTGAACTTTCAGAGGACTATGCTATGTAAATTACACGCCATGGTTGTAGCATTACATTCCCAAGAGTTGCCTTCTTACGCTGTCAATAATGGCCTGGGTTCTTTTCTTTAACAGACATCCATTTTACTATTTTGGAGTAGTCATAATAGCGGATTATCTCGTTTTGTCTTGCTTTTCCTTGGACTGGTTGTTGGAATTCTTTAATGAGACCGAATCTTTCCCATTGCTCATTGGTCCTATCTTTAATCTCGCTTCCTGAGTCCTAATATCAAATGGAAACGTTTTTGGGTAGAGAAGGCGCAAAGAACACAGCCAATCAGGATAAAACGGAACGCACGCGTGATATTGTGGTTGAAAGGGTAGATGACTAGTGGATCAGCAAATGAAACTGTTAAAATTCGATTATCTTAGGGAGTGGAATCCAGAGTTGTTAAATTCGGTGGAATTTGTCATTGAAGGTTGCCATCTGGAGTGAATCTAGAATTAGTCTTAGTTGAAACTGCTGATTTCTCTCCCTTGGTGCTTTACTGGAATGTGAGACAAGCTGAACTGAGGGTAGAAAAGTAAAGTGAAAAAATACGTCACCAAGGTTGCTAGCATAACTCCACTTGATGGGTGGTCCAAGCCTTAACAGATGGATAGAAATGGATGTTAACTGTCGGCTATTATATCTCCGGGAGATCTTGCTCCGCCACATCTGGGTGGGTAGCACAATTTTATGGGGCTCCCATTAAGCAATTAATCGCTCAAGTTCTTTTATTTATTTAACTAAAAGTAGTTGCGAGCACGGTATGATTTGTTTACCGATTTCTGAAAAGAAGAAATCTCTGATAAACAGGAAGGGTTGCCGCAATTAGAAGGGGTTGTGAAAATAGTAAATCTTGTTTAATTAATAAGAAATTTACGATGGTCTTTACATATTATTAGTGGGTAAACGATTTTTAATATTTTACAATTTCTGTAATCGAGATTCCCTCGGATCAACTTCAAATCCAGAGTTACAGTCCACTTATACAGCTTCATAATTCACCCCCTGTACTATTATTCAAATTCGTATCGGCATTCTCCAGAAGTTGTTGACCTGATCTAGAAGTATGATGATCAATCTTACCACTTCAATTCATTTTTCAATACTACCATAAATTCTGCCCAAAATATTTCTGCTTAAGGGCTGAAGTCTGCCAGATGGACATGATATTGCATGCCTGTTTTCTTGAATAAATAAATAAATATTTATTTATATAAAATGTCAGGCATTTTGATAGTTTCATTAGCCCTTTAGGTGACTTCAGGCCCCATAGAGGAGAAGAAATATCAAAGTGAAAAAAATTCGAGAGTGGGGGGGGGACAGAAGAGTGTTTCAAAGATGTAAGAGACAAACACAAAGGTTGAACAAAGGTGAGGTGAGTACTGTGTAAATAGTCGAATATGACATACAGTGGGGTGATGGTAGCTTGAAGTCAGAAGTCAACAGCCAGGTAATAGACTTTTTTGCCGTATGAGTATATACGTTGCCCAGGGTGCACCACGTGGAGGTAAGTCTATCGCACACCCCTGA